CTCTACAGGAAGGCTCTGATAAATTGGATGAGAGCAGGTTTGTTGATCTGTACTTGCAGAGGTAGTTTTTCTCTCAAAGAGGCATGAGAAATACCCTCAGATGCACCATTCATCTCTATGGCGACCCGACTGGCTTGTAACCTTAGAGATATCGTTGCCGACAATCGCACCTGCCCTCTGTAGACACAAAGAACAATTTCCAGAGGAGGGGTAAAATCTGATTTCTCCCTTGTTCGGTGAATCCATCTCTCTGTTTTTATTCCTCCATTCTTCCTCTCTCTTTCAGTCTCCAGCCCTATCACCTCTCCTTGACCATTATCTGGCAGACAGCTCCTGCTCATTAAGGAGTTAATTTTCTTCTCTCTATCTCTGATTAGTATAGTTGAACCTAAAGCACTGTGAATTCTTTAAATTTTCCCTCCCTGTTATCAAAAAGAGAAAAAGGGGAATGGGGGATATTTAATCGTTTAAGTAGTCTTCCTGGGGAACTGCTGCTGCCGTTTCAGTTTTTTTTCCTTCCCTCTTCCCAGCAATGTAAAGAAATCCTGCCGCCCAGCTCAATAATTCAGTTTTTAAAGCATGGAGGGGAAAAAAAAACGACTTGATGAAATTCCACTATCAGCTCCGAACCAATATGCAAAATATCTCGCTGGAAATCAAATAGCTATTATGTTTTCATTTCCACGTCGGCGTATTTGCTTAATGAAGAGGAGACAGATCAGACCGGTAGAGTCTGCAGGAGGCGATAACCGGGAACGGCTCGCAGCTATCCACACAGAGTGACGCTCCCAGTCAGAGAGAGAGAGAAATGAAGAGTGAAAGAAAGGAGAGAGTAATGGGGAAAGGAAAGAGCGAGAGGCAGAGAAGAGGTAGAGACAGTAACGTGATGGAGGGATGTAAAAAGCAGAGAAGGAAGTGTAGAGTGAGAGAAGAAGATAAGGAAATCGAGGGATGTCTTTAAAACCTGCCTCTTTGCAGTGTCCTGGGCCCACGGCTGTTTGATGTTTGACAACCTGCTGACAAATCCACGGCGGGGATCTGTCAGGCCCGTTTGAAGTGCTCCGATGCCCAGCGCACATGAATATCATCACCACACATTATCACCTTACAATAATCAGTCATTATCATAAGTATTATAATCACTCATTCGTGTGATTTGACTGATGGAAATGAGAACAGTATCTTCCTGCGCTGTTTACTCTTTTTATTTCATTATTAACAAGTCTCGTCAAATATAACTATATTATTTGTTCTGTGTTCGTGCTCTGTCTTAAGAGTTTTTTTTATTAATTATTCTTCTTTGATCTTACTCTTTATGTTCATGCTTTGGCAAATACAAAAGTTATAGTGTAAATATACTGTGGTTCTGGCAGTGTTTTATTTACAAGCCTCTCTCTCTCTTTTAAATTTTAATTCAGATTTTTAAAAAATGTTACAGATATTGTTTACTTAACTTCATGTCTTTCGAAACCTGTCTGACTTCCATCCGTTTATTGTAAAAGGAGTTATTTACAGAAGAATATCCAAGCTTCACAAAAGGGAATGGTGACCATTACTGTTAGGCAATATTTTGAGTACAATTTAAATATCGGTCTGTTTTTCACATAAAACTAATGTACGGCCTCAATAAATGTAGAATATAGCGCATAGGGCATTTAGATAATTTTATGATGCTTTTATCCACTTTCATTATATGTATAATAGCAGCATGAACATTAATCCAAACGTCTCAGTTTTGAATTGCACAGAATAAAAACTGTGACTGTCTGTCTTTTATTATTATTATTTTTTTTTTCATTGTTCTGCATTGTGACAACAAATATTCCATGTATGTGGTAAAAAATGGCATGCATAATAATTCAGCAAAAATAATCAGCAAAATGCTGTCACAATAATTTTAGATGGAACATAGCATGTCACACTACTGGACATCTTTAAATATTTAATAGATACCACCCACGTACCAAAAAACGAGTTTTTGTAAATGTATGACAACACAACATGTATAAAAGCACAAATATTCCTTTAAAATGAGTTAATCTAACAGTTGATACTGTGGGTCCTAGAGACTCCACAGTGGAAGCTTTTAATTTAGTACAATGATGAATAATATTGCATCGCTGCCTCACTTTATTACGTTGTCTAAGTGCCTGCTTCTAATTGTAAATGGTGTCTTGTCAGTGATGCCCTGTGCCTGAAGTTTTACTGAATAAACACAAGAGTGCTATTCACTACCTCCTTTCACACCGCATGCTGTGTTAGCAGAAACAGAGATGGCGCGAGTCTTGGCAAAGCAAGTGAGAGTCCACTCCTGTACGTCAGCGTGTCCGCAGAGGTCCTGCCAGTGCTGCGCAAGCCCTGAGGCTCCCAGCTTATCTATGGCTCCAGCGATGCTGGTGACACGAGTCCCATCCAACCAGGTCTCTGTCTCAGCGCTCGACTGGCTCATCAGTCATTTCAGCACATTTTCAGCTGGCAGATCAATAGCTCCTTTTACCTGTCTGTATATAAACTGATCAGTCTTCTCATCAGCTGTTTCAGTTCTGAGATCAGTTTTAAATGATACATTTGTGAAGTCTCCTTTTGATTTATGCGTGATTCTGTGTTTTCAAGAGCCCGCCGGGATCCGGTCTAACCCCTGTATCCATCTAATTAATATTACTAAGAGTGTTTTAATGCCCTTGGCTCTGATCAATGTGTGTAGCCACTTGTGCTTTAATTTATAAGTCAGGTACCACAATACTGTCCTGAACACACACACACACACACACACACACACACACACACACACAGACAGAGGCTCCCAGTTCTCCTAGAAGTATCTTTCTTCACAAGTCCCTGATTTCCTGATACAAGTGGTGTTCTTTTTTCCGCTGTGTTTGGGCTGTTTGGTAATGTGGTGATTAACGTGAGGGTGAGGAAGTTTGTTCATTTAATCAGGGCTCAGGTTTGATGTGTTGTCTCCTAGTTTAATCACTGCTGCTAAGCGCACTGGTTTGATGTGGACGGGGCCGCTTAATAAAGCCCTATCTCCTCCGCCTTCATCAGCTTTCTCACTTTGTTCTGCCTGTTCGAGTGCCAGTTAGAACTCAAAAGTGTATTTCTTTCAGTTCATCATAATGGACAAAATGGGGGCTTTTACAATTTAAGGTTTAGTCCTTAAACATGGACAGAAAGCAGAAAGGAAGCATTTTTTTAAATTAAACAATTTTATAATTTATGTTTTACATCATTACATTTAATTATTTTTTTTGCAGGTTTAAATTATATTTCAGTGCTATATCAAAAAGCGCTCCCAGTTCTAAATGTTCTTGAGTGCCAGATTTTTTTTCCTCTTTTTTTTTTTTTTTCATTTAATTTATGGCAAATAAAGTTGTCTGCTGACATTTTTCCAATGTAGATGATCCTTTTTCTGTGTTCAGTTCTGTGAAAGATACATATCATTCGTCGTATAAGATGAAGAGGGTGAGCAGAGACTTTTTCCACGCCATTTGATGTCAGAAAGCAGTGATGCGGCGATTTATTCATTTAACCAGAGCAGTAATAGGAAAGAAAATCATAATTCAGACTTACATTTAAACACGAAATGTAATTGGAATTTTAAACAGAGGAGCCCCTTTGTACAATTATGATTAAAGGAAAATTAATTGTATGAAAATGTCGCCACAGATATAGAAAATTAGATCTAGCAAGGCCTGCACTACATTCTAAAAATATGGCATATGGGATCGATCTTTTATACTTTTCTCTCTCACGTCTTTTATTACTGAGGTCCAAATCTAAGTGTTAATTTTATCTGAAATTACAGTGAACCATGCAGGCGTGGAAGTCGAAATTAGCCTAAAGATGTTTCATTTACAAAGACAGAAACACTTTGTCAGGGAGCGATTGTTTCTAAGCATTATCTCCGCCTCGTTTTAATTGCTTTGGAAGTGAAATTAACAGAATTAGAAAAATTGCCTTTGCCTTTTTCTACAAGGCTCTTTATTCACGGGTATTGTTGTGTGCTTTGTATAGATTATAGGCCTCTTTGTTCTAGGAAGTGTAAATATATACGCCTCCAGTCACGGCTTTAGCTCCGAACAATCCCCTCTCTGTTCATCAACTTAATGAAAATTAATTTACCAAAAACTGTGGTAAAATCCGATTTTCTAACCCCTGGTAATTTTGCTTTAGATGCCGATGCGTAAAATAGTGGGTGTCCTGGTTGAATTAAACGCACTGAGAATGTGCGTTGGTGAATTTATGTGCTTCTTCTCACACACAGTAGTTTTGCTCATCTTAAACCTCATTAGAATAACAATATGGCCGGCGACAGTTGAATTAGTATGCAAAGCACTGTGGTGTCCACTCTAGCAGCCCTCGTCTACATATTGCATTATAATATTCGTAGAGAGCTCTTTTTATTGTATAGCTTGTTCTCTAAAATAAATCAATTTAAAACTGATTTTATGTATAAAAAAAATATTATGTTTCACACAAGTAGTTTTATCACCAAACTTAACCTCCTGGAAAGGTTTTTTTTTTTTTAGATCAGCTAATGTGTTTTTAAACACCAACGGTTGGTTATCTCATCATGGTTGGAAAATGTAGGTTTTTTTTTGTTCAACTGCTGCCAACTTGGAATGTATTGAGTTATACAAATGAATTAATCACCCTGTCCAGTGATTAAAACACACACACATCATGTGCATTTACTTCCTTGTGGTCTGAAGCTCTGGGATTTCCAACCAATTAAAGCTGTAAAAGGGTTGTAGCAAGAAGATTTGAAATGAATCAGAATTTTCTTTCTTAATCATGTACTTTATCACTTTTTATTTACAGAACACCCTACTTCCTGTAAGACATTAACAGGATATATTCGTATTATCTGAAGCCTCTCATTTGAGGCTTTGGCATGATATGGGATCTTTTAAAAGGCCTTTTAATGTCGGACGACTTTTATTTTATATCGCTCTTCTCTTTATGAGCCCTCTCTCTCTCTCTGTTTTTCTCTGCAGGCTCTATTGGGGATCTTAATGGAGGTGAGGATCCATCTGATGATGTAAGCATGTCAGGAGAGGAGGGCGGAGCTTCAGACCAGGAGGACTCTGCAGAGTGTGACAGTTCAAGTCCACCTTCCTTTACACCACTTTATAACGAAGGTGAAATGGCGCATGGGGAGATAAGAGCCGGTTCATTGGCTGCTTTTGATAAACGCATGGGAATTCTGTCAGGTGCTAATCGTGACCAGTTTAGAGATTGCTCTGTTTTGTTTGTGCATTTAGACATGTGTGACCCTGGACCACAAAACCAGTCATAAGGGTACATTTTTCGAAATTGAGATTTATAAATTGAGATACAACTATTTGAAAATGTGGAATCTGAGGGTGCAAAAAAAATCAAAATACTGAGAAAATCGCCTTTAAAGTTGTCCAAATGAAGTTCTTAGCGATGCATATTACTAATCAAAAATTAAGTTTTAATATATTTACAGTAGGAAGTTTACAAAATATCTTCATGGAACATGATCTTTACTTAATGCCCTAATGATTTTTGGCATAAAAGAAAAATCAATAATTTTGACCCATACAATGTATTTTTGGCTATTGCTACAAATATACCCCAGCAGACTTAAGACTGGTTTTGTGGTCCAGGGTCACATATGAGTATGTGGTATTCACAAGTTTGTATTCGAGGTGATATTTGTCATCCTCCTATTTTCTGGTGTGAAAAGAGGGTCTATGTTAACGTTTTTCTTTAGCTCTTTTTTTCCCTCAATCAATCTCTCGCCCCCACCCCTCGGGGCTCCACTGTTGCCCGGTGCTGCTATTATCAGCCTCTGTAAATCAGCCGTGTTTGACGAACTTGCTCTTTCAACCTGCGATCAATACCAGGTCTTTATCAGGCCAGCAGTGGCTAATAAAGGCAAGCTCCCTTATCCACCATCTGGGAGAGAAAGAGACAGGCGATAACCAACTGATAACTGCTTCAGAAAAACACCCAACCAGTCACAGGACACACAGTGCCGATAACCACCTGTAAAACAAAAATATAAACGAAAATAACACATTTTAATAATCGTTAATGGCTGAGCGGCTGCTGGTTTCCATGTGAAAGGGTCAGTCTGAAGCGATCCGAAGAAAGATCTGATGAACTCCTCCTCGTCCATATCAGCAGAGAAGCTGATAAACCTTAAGTAAAGATGGCATCGTGTTCCAGAACACCTTTTGTTATCTCAAACCCAGTGAGGAGGCCTGATCCGGCTTATGGTTTTGTCGAGGCTGAAATAGTTAACTGGATGGAAACATCTTAGCTAGCCCCACTTTGGGTGCCATGTTGGACTCAGAGATGATACAGTTGAGCCCTTCGTAACGTACAAGAAAAGAACTTGACCCTGCCATGATGATCTGTTTGGGAGAAAGAACTTACACAAAATTGACTCTAAAAAATGAGGCCAGCCAGAAAGAATGGAGCAAGTTGGGTGACTTTGCCCTCCAGGTGTGACAAAGGAAGTCGCTGTTATCAGATGAAAGGAGGTTGTTGGGTTGGGGACATGGTGTGTGTGTGTGTGTGTGTGTGTGTGTCAGTATGTGCGTGTTTGCATGTGCTGGTAGACTAAAGAGACTGTCGAGGAGCCAGGATGGTGGCAGCACCCATCCACCCCACCCTCTTTTCCTGATACCTGCCTTCTCTGCTCAGATGATATGGGAGATTATATTGATAATATTAAATGCAATAACTGTGGCTCCAGCTCCTCTCCCCATGCTGAGCGCTGCAGGATAAAATCAATGTGCCATTCAATGTGATTTATAGCTGAAAATAATAGGGCTTCTTAGGCAGGGAGGGAGGCGCGTCACGGGACGGCATGCACCGGGATGGGCTGAGAATGGCAGTTGGGCCTGGGTGGAATTGTTGGGGTTGACGAGAAGGGCGTGTGCATGTGTGATTTATTTGATGATGAAGATCTAATCTTCAACCTGTTGCATTAATAACAACAGCTCTGACCTGTGTCACGCAGACGGACATTTATGGCTGGTATCGATCGGCAACTATCGCTGTTTATCGCCACGGAAATGCAAGGGTAAACATGCCCTTTGTGCACCACAGATGAGCTGTAATCGAGGTGGGGTGAAGGGGAGGGAGTTGGGGAAGGGGAGAAGGAAAAAAGTGGAGTGTGGGAGAGAAGAGGACAAGAAGTCATATCAGTTTACTCGTATACATGCAACAGTGGCACTCAACCAACCGAAAGAGAGAGAGACTGCTATCAGCAAGGTGATCGCTTTGATCAAAGAGAATAACTAATCATTGGCATCAGTGTGTGGGAGATCTGTACTGTCTTTCACACTGATGAAAAAGATTGGCCTTAATAAAATGAAGACGCTGGCCGTCTGTTGGCAGGGGTTTCCAGTTCTCGCTTGGTAAATCAAAAGGGCTCGGGTGTATTGCTGAATGACACATGCCTCTCTTTCAGCCACCTTTGATCATCAGAGCAAGACCACTGCACTTGTTGAGTATAAGAGAACTGTTCAACATAAAACATGAAAAAAGATCACCCTCAGGATCCAAAAATTATTAATCATTATATGCTAAAAGTGCTAAAGTTAATTTAATAAATAACAATTAAAAATAAAAATATTGATGTTTAAAATGTTATATTATTTCGTATTATATGACATAAAAATATACACTACCATTCAAAAGATTTGGGACAATAACGTTTTGGTTTTGAAAGAAATTAATACTTAAAATCCTTATTAAATTATTGGAATAAATTCAGCAAGGATGCATTGATCAAACTAATTTTAACATTGATAATAATAAGAAATGTTTCTTGAGCAACAATGAAGACTGGAGTAATGGCTTCTGAAAATTCAGCTTTGCCATCACAGGAAAAATTTATATTTAAAAATATATTAAAATAGAAAACAGTTATTTTTAAGTTGTAATTATATTTAACAGCATTTCTGTTTTATTGTATTTTTGATCAAATAAGTGCAGCCTTGGTCAGCAATAAGAGAGTTCTTTAAAAAAGAAACTTACCGGCCCCCAACTTTTGAACAGATTTGTGGTATTATATGATAATAGCATATAATAACATAATGATTATAACAAATATAATGATCACTCTGATCACTCTGAAGTAGTTTAATTTGCAATAATGACTAATTGATTATTCCATTTATTTCATGTCGACTTAACAAATAACTAAATATTTTATTTATTTTACTTGTCATTTTACAAAAACTTTTGTCTCCAGAATGCTGTGATTGACCGATCAAAACAAGTTCTAAAGATAATATAGCACAGAATTAAATTGCACAAACATAAACATTTCAGAACAGGACTAAGAAATATGCGTGATTTTTTATGTATTATTTTCATCGGCTTTCCACAGAGCCAAGAACGCACGAGTCCATTTCGGTGCCGAATGAAGGTGGGGAAGATGAGAAAGGAACGAAACACTGTGCAGAAGATGAGGAGGAAGAAGGGGCAGATGGGGAAGGGGAACGCCAGTGGAACGGCCCAGGTCAGTCTCTATCTGTCCCTGGAGTGTTTAGCTGATGCATGAGTCACTGGCTTCTCAGGAAGGGCCAGCCGTACTCATACTGTCAGCTTGGCGGCCTTGACTTTATCAAGCTTCACATTTGAAACAGAAATTAGTCAGTCTGAACTGCCTGTAAATTTTTGTAGTAAGTACTGTCATTCTCGTATCTCTTTTGTGAACCTACTGTACACTTCCCAACAATTAATGCCCCGATATACTTCAAACAAAATCGAAGAACAAACTGATGTGACATCATATCAAACAAAATCATGCCAAAACGAAGTTTGTTTTGTTTTCGTTTTGGGAGTTTGAAACGGCTTGCCAACGCGAACTCTCCTGAAAAGTTCGCACCAGCTGCAAAACACCTTCGGACTACCAGTGGTCTGTGATAACGTAATAGGAGGTGTGTGCTGAGGCCCCGCCTTCTTTCATGCAGATCTTTCTGGCTCCTTTCATCTGTTGAGTCAGTCGAGGTAAGATCTCCATGAGTGAAAACATGAATACACTGGAGAACCCCTTTATAGTAAAAAGTGAAGTTGTGCTTCTGATGAAATGAGACACTGACACTGTTTTTCATGTTTGATACTGTAAAGCTGCCTAGTTTTAAGCAATCTATTGAATAAAATGCCATAAATATACATGACGTGACTTTACTGGAGTGCTACTTTGCAGAGCTCATACTCTAACATACCCATGTTGCTATGATCAGACGCTTTTCTTATGCTTTTTATTTTAAAAAAATGCATGCTGTTTTCTCATTTTTATTGTGTTAATTTTGTTACCGAGAGGAAAGCGTATTCATTCTAAACTATGCTTTCGGCAGTGTGGGCGGCGTCGGGATGTTCACTAACAGTATATCGCTGCTTACGTATTTGAACTTCGTTTTACCCCTAAACGAAGAACGAAAAAGAACTTAGCTGTGAGTATATCGGGCCCTTTAGTCACTTTTTCTCAGTGATGCAATGGTTTACCACAATCCTGTGACCAGTGTTGGGGTAACTCATTTCAAGTAATGCGAGTTACGTAATCGGATTACTTTTTTCAAGTAACTAGTAAAGTAACGCATTACTCTTTTAATTTACAAGAAAATATCGGAGTTACTTTTTCAAAAAAGTAATGCCAGTTACTTTGTTTTCCCATTTATTGACTGACAGCTCTCCTGTCCCCATATTGGGAGAAATCGGGAGTACAGAGGCGTTGTGTGCGCTGTGTGAACATGATGTTACTGTAGTTCTAGACTAAATGTGAATGTGCATTAATTCATCCCACCCACAAAAAAACTAATTTAGTATTCATCAAAATGAATTAAAACAGTGAAATGCAAACTCAGAATATGACGCAAACCTGCAATAATTAAATGTTAAATAACACAAATGTATCTAATCCCATTTTATTAACCAATATCTTTGCTGCTGACCTTTGATGATCTAGTTCAACCATATTAATAAGCAAAAATGACTTTAGAGAAACTAACAATTGTGCTTTGTTTTTTTTATTGCTGAAGAGTGTTTCTTCTCCTGCGTTCTACTGTACAGACGTGAATTTACTTTTGTTTCAGCCTGAGGTTTATTCATAACACTTTTTGGTGTGAAAGGGCTTTTATATTCGCTATAAATAGAACTTCTTATATTAAAAACAATCAAGCCCTGCTTATATTTAAAAAGTAACGCAAAAGTAATATAGCACATTACTTTCCATAAAAAGTAACAAGAACATGCAGGTTATTCTTGTCACTTAAATGTTCAGGACAGAATTTGAATTGTTATATATGTCTGTATACATGGAAATAATAATGATATATAATATAATATAATATCATATCATATAATATAATGTAATTATAACCATGGCCATTCCTACTGAAAAAACAAAAAAACATCTTAGACCAGCCTAAGGCGATTTGCTGGTCTTACCTGTTCTGTTGCTGATGTGTTTTTTTTTTTTAGATGTGTTTTGGCCAATTTAGTCAGGGAAACCAGTAAACCAGCTGAAGACCAGCTTAGATTAGAGCAACTTAATTGAGCAAAGAATGGCTTAGGCTAGTTTAAACAGGTTTTCAGCACAGATTGAGGACATTAGTGGGCCTCATTCTTCACAACAACATTCCTAGTTGTTCCTCGACGGCAGTCACCCTGTTAAAGACTTAAAATTGCAAAAATATGATAATAAGTATGCATCAACCTCTAGGATGTTTTGTGTGTTGTATTCTTGCCCTCAAACCGGTTGTATAAATTCTAAGACATACTTAGAACTTTAAGACTTTACTGTACTCGCTGTAAAAACAAACTGGGAATCTTTAATATCAGCCTGGATAACGTAAAACAGCTTTTTCTATCATTTTTCTCCAACTTTTTCTCTCAGGACCATGCAGCTGAGCAGTACAGCTTATAGCCATAGTGGGGATCTAGTAGAGTATGACATGATTCAATATGCAAGGCATTTTCTTTATCTCGAATATTTAGAAATCGCCTAAATATGTGTGTCTCCTCGTGTGTGTGTGTGTTTTAATTTTTCACGTCAAGGATGTGTTTATTATCGCCCTGTTCCAGCCTGTCCTTTTAACAGTAATTGGAGTGATATTAATTGCTTTGCGGTTGCCGCTTGATGACAGCGCTGGCGATGTGAGCTTGATAGGCTTTTTTCCCCCTCGTAAACTAACTGCCAGGAGAATGAGGAAGAGGGGGGGGAGAGCGAGAGAGAAAGAAAGAAAGAGGGGGGGAGCAGGAGAGAGATAGGCTTTCTATCAGTACTGGAGCAGGCGCTGCCTTTATCACGAGCATGATTGGCAAAAGGGAAACTTTGACCAGTCTGAATTTTTCCCTTATCATCATGACCCCCCCCTCTTCTTCCTTGTTTCTTGTTGTTTTGTGCCCTCAGCATCAGGAGTGGAGTCGCAGTGTGTTTGTTCTTGCATTCGTTTGGTGTATGTCACCTCTTTTTTTTTTATATATATAATCCTCTCGGAACTGAACAAAAACGCTTTCATCGGGGACTGTTTGCATTCCTCTCATTTATTACTGTAATCAGCAGAGTTCTGGTGTTAATGACCAGATTGACTTCATTCAGAGAGGACTGGGGCTTGTTTGATGATGTCACATCCTGTTTTACCTCTTTCTTTAGGGTGATGAAGGTGTAGTGGTAGCGAAACTACCCATCATTTCTGCATATTTTGCTGTCTTTATGCAGTGATTTTGTCATTCGGCACTGAATATATCTCTGAAAATGTTTTCCTATTTCTGTTTAACCTTTCGTATCTTGGCCTTATGTTTCCTTAAAGTTCTCAGCTGGAAGGTTCTCATCCAGTGTCGTTCTTATCAGTTTGTATAAAGCTTTATTGTATACGCATACACAAACATAAACGTAGATAAAGAGATAGAGAGAGAACGTAGGCCATAAATAAACAAGTATGCTTATTTATATGTTCCTTATCAGTTTTGAAGCTGTAAAATGCACATCTTTAAGAAATGCCAGTATGCTGGGTGCAATTTAGGCCCCGTCCACACAGAGACGCGTTTAGCTGTATACGCATACATTTTGTAACGTATAGGCGTTTCGTCCACACGGATCCAGTGTTTTGGGAGAGTGAAAACGAAAATTTTCTGAAACGATGACGTCATCAGACCACATCTCGCCCCTAGTCAGACACCGCTACGTCATGTAACAGCAACAAAAACATGAACAAACACTGAATGATTGTCTTTTTAATAACTAACATTAACACAGATTAATAAATGTATTGTTCCATGTTCGTTTGTATACCGCGCGCAAGGTTTATGCGCATAGTCCAAGTCGTCTTCTCAGTTTTTAGTGTATCTCTGTGGCAGAATTACAGCGCCACATACTGGTCTGGCATGTATACTACATTGTTTTGTGTCGGTTTTGTGGTTTCGTGTGGACGCAGATATTACTTGAGACGAGGGGAAAAAAAGATTGGATAGGGAAAGCTCTGGCTTCGTGTGGACGTAGCCTTAGTTTGAATTCTGTGTAAAAAAGAACAAAATTTGAAATGTGTTTGAGTCTTTTAGCGTATTATACAACCATTTCAAAGAGTCACTCAAAAACATGGGTGTTATTATTTTTTAAATTGAATGCTTTTTAAAAAAAAAAAGACCATATTATCAAAGGATAGCGCATATCACAATTCGACACCTTACACAATTTTATTTGCACTGTCTATCCTTCCTTTAAAGCATCCATACGTAACATCCCTGGAAAACTCATGCTTGTTGTTTGTTAATTGCTTCTGTATCTTTAGATAATATTTTTCAGGGTGGGGTTCTGTTGAATGAATTGATAGGCAGTGGTGAGGCAGAAGTGTCAGGAATGGGTTGATATGGCAAAGCAGCTTTTTAATCTATAACGTGTCCTGCTGCATGATATGCAAAATAAATTATGAAGAAAAAAATTATCTTCAAAATGACCTTGCTGGCTGGAGGGTTTGATATTTTCCTCTCTGCTTAAAATTCTTGATATGCAAATGGCCGTCAAAGTAATCCCTTCTAGCTGGCGGACCGTTGCTCCTTTTTCCTCTTCTTTCCCTTTCTTTCTCTCTCTCTCCATCTTGCTTTCTCTTTTAGAGTTTTACAGGATGGAAATAGACCTTGACTAAACTAGCTCTGCATATAATGTTCCTGCTTGCCCAGCATTCCCTCCCCACCAACATTCCTTATCCACATAAGTTATTCAAATTACTCCAATAAAGCATTATAATGGCAATGATAATAATGATTATTATTATTTACCCGGCGTGGTGGGATTTTATCATATTTAATTATAAGGGATCGGAGGGAGCTGCGTGTGCATATTATCAGTGGCATTTAAATGCTGATAAATTATTTGCGGGTGCTGGAACTGGCATTGATGAGAGGGCTGCAAGGACGCTGATAGGTGTGGAGGTGTTGGCCAGGTTTTACAGCGTCAGCAGAGAAGCAGGAAAATCTGCATAGACCTCCTGAAGAGTCCTGAGCGCTGAAAAATTAAAA